GTTCGCCGGCCTCTAACGCCGAGCCTGCTTATTTGGCAGTTTCTCAAGTTACTCCCCTCAGGCAGCTTGAGCCAGTAAAACTAGATCCTCTCATCTCGGCGGAGCTTACTGACAACCAGCCGTCTGGTTTCCTAGGAAACAAAATCTTGGCTAGAAATAGTGAATCATTTCCAGGTCACTTTCAACATGGAGAGTGGAGCAGGGAAGCATTGGACTGAGGAGGAGGTTAAAGCCTTGTTAAGCGTCTGGTCAGAAAAAAATATCAGAAAGCAACTCCACGGCACCCTGAGGAATAAAGGAATATTTATCTACATTGCTAAAAGGTTGCAGGAGTTAGGAGTTTGCAGGGATTGGAAACAGTGCCGTGCAAAGTATAAAAACCTGAAGTATGAATACAGAACGGTTAAATATGCCCACAACTCTGGGGATGTCACTAAAACCATGAAGTTTTTCCATGATCTGGATGCCATATTGCGATATGAGCCTGTCACACAGTTAGCAGCAGAAGAAAACGGCAGGTGTTCTGCGACTGAGGCGCAGCTGAACACAAGCCCCACAGCAGAGAGCACGCAAGGTAAAAAAACTGTTTTTGCTTCTATTTTTCTCTCTTTGCCTAAAAACCAGAGGGAACAAAACCCAAGCCTGAGTTTGCTCGAGCCGAAGCGGAGGCTGCGCAGCCCCAGCAGCGCTGGTAGAACTGACTTGATGCACTCCTCGCGCAGGGGAATAAAATGTTAGCACCCACCAGTGTCGAAGTCTGTAAATACAGCGTAATTCTAGCAAAATTATGCTAACTGCTTGTACTGCAGCCTCGGTGAGTACTCGCTGGTCTCAAGGCTCCTGCGCTGGGTTGAAACGCTAAATTAAGAAAAGCTGCTTTCTTTCCCTTTGACGTGCGTTTGCAGGTTTTGTAGAGCTCCGATTCAGATGTAGACTTAGAAGTAAAGGATGAAAGTGTCATGATTTTAAAAAAATCATTACTTGTGATACAAGTGAAGTTAAGGAATTTTTATTCGTACTTCCCTCTAACTGAAAATTTCGGTATGATGACTAAAGGTAAATTAAATTATTTTGTAAGCAATTCAACCTAAATACTTGAGAAACAGAGGAATGTTTAGCAACTTCATTAAAAATTGTAGTGAGGAAAGTAAAAATCATGTATATCAGACTATTTTGAGGCAAACCAAATGAATATAACTGCTTTTATTCTGAAGGGGGCTTTACCAAATTATTTGCATCTCTTGTTTTATTCAGCCCTCTCTACATATGCATTTAAGCTGTGCTTAACGTTTCATTGGGGTCAATCTGCTATTTGACATCACTCAAATCTCCTTGTCACATCCTAAATGTCACCGAAGCATAAGCCCCATAATAGTTATAAGTACCACAATAAGATGGCTAAAAAGAGAAATGCAAGGCTTAGCTGTTTGTTCCCACAGTATGTGGCATTTTACATCAATTAAGATTGTGAATCCTTTTTAAGAAAACAGAAAACTCAACGTTAGTTATCAGGGGAGATTGCCAAAGGCACAGAAAGGATCTGGGCATCGAGCTTGCCCTTGTACCCTTCCACGTCTCCCTCTACAATGCTGTTTTACAGGTCTGAGGAAGAGAAATTGCCATTTTTCTTGTCATTGTTTACCTTAATGAAAAGCTTGACCTTAATTTGTCACCACTAGCAGAAAGCCTCTAATCTGTCAAAATCACTTTTAAATTAAAATGGCAATTTTAGAATATTTTCACATGAACTCTCTGCACTGTGCATTGCAATCCATTTTTATTTTTAAACTTGCAGAACTGAGGCTAATACAAGCTGTTACACTTCTGAGGATGACATGAAACTAAGGCAGTGTCCTTCATCTGAGGATCTGCCCTTAGATTACCCTCTGTGTTTTGATGTAGTTTGCACCGTTAATCCTAATTCTCATCTGCTTTAGATCTCTAGCAAGTTTAAATCAGAAAAGGTTAATTTCAGCTGTGAATCCCAAACTAGAATATAAAAAAAAAAAGATTACCCCTGGGTGAGACACGCCTCGTTTTGAAGCATTAGAACAGTCTGGTTTTAAAGGTGGTATTAATTAAATATATCTCTTAAATGCACAAGCATTTCTGTTACTCCCTTAAAAAAAAAAAAAAACAGACAAGTTTTATGGTTTAACAGAAATTAAATGCAACTAACTGTAATGATGCAACACTAATGGCAAGAATTTGAATGCAAAGATTCCCACAACCAGCCATAGTTCAGCCACAAAGAAAGCATGCTAGGATAGAAACGTGTCCTGCGGCTACGCAGAATGCATACATCCCTATCCAGCGCGGGGCAGAGAGAACAGCTGTGAGAACGTCAACTTTCTTCCATTTGAGAACGCAAGTCAAGCAAGCGAGGCCGTGGGAGAGGCCCAGCCCTTTCCCGCCTGCAGCCGGAGTTGCACCGTCTGCTCGGGGGAGGTTGCCCGGCTCCGTACTTCGAAGGGCACTTGCAAGGCTAAAATGGCATCCGCAGCCCTGCGGCTGATGCCCACGAGTTCTTTTGGAGGGAGGGGGGCAGATCTGGCAGCGTGGCTCCCACGGAAGGAAAGGTGATTCCCGACGCAGGCGATGGCTGCCGGCTGCCCCAGCCCCAGCCGTGGGCCTGGCTGCTCCCCCGCAGCCAGCGGGAGGAAGGGGGCTGCTTTAGGGTGGGCATCGCCCTCTGTGAGGCAAAGAGGCCGGCGTATAGCTGCGCTCCTGCAGGACCCCCATCCTGGCCTTCTGCCTTTCAGCCACAGAGTGTTACAGGAGAGGAGGGGAAAATGGTGCCTCCCCTCTTTCAAAAGAGGCCGAGAAGCCTCATTTTGACAGGGCTGGAGGAACCAAGGATGCCTTGGCTTCTGACTTGGGTAGCGAGAACAAAATGCTACCGACAAACTCAAACCTGTGCCAAATAATACCATCCACCGTGCATGCCTTACTGTATTTTAAGAACCAAGTAGCTATACCAATTTGTTTAAAAAGCATGACAAGGGACAGGGCATGCTCCCAAAGAAATTACTGTATTTTTACCATTCTGCTTAGCCTCGGTCTAAATCTTCATATCCATCCTTAATGTAAAGATACAAAGCACCTCTTTGTGTTTGATTTGCTTGATTATCTCAGCTACTGGGAGATTGCTGGGGAGGGGGAGGAAGGGGAAAGAAGGAAAAAAAGAGACTACTTTACGGGACTGAACGGTGTTTCTATAATGTTTCCCTGAGTTTTTTCTTCATATCTTGTAAAATCAGTTTTCTTTTGAAAGTGTAATTGAAGACATTAATACTGAAAATCACAGTGAAATCTGAAAGAGGTGTCTGGGGACAAACTTGGTAGCAACATACACACCCCAATTCCCAGCTTGTTCATAGAAAGCCAACACTTTTTGCATAAGCACACAGAGCAGTGCAAGCCAGAGGTGTTCATGTTGTCCTCCCAAAATACATGTTTTCAGAGGCAAACACAGAGTTGTAGCTTAACCAATCATTAAAAAAGATACAACTCAACATGTTCACTTCTCTTAAAATTGAGTTTGTGTATTATCCCAATAATCAACAACCAAGAAAATCCATGTAGAGGGATGGTGCACTGTGAAAAATGGTATCGTTCATTACAGTTCAAATGAATGACCTTCCCATTTTATTAACCAGTTTTGTTTCAAGTTAAATCATGTATTAATAAATCAAGTACATGATTTACAAAAATAAAGCTCAGCTAGTAATTCATGTTAAGTTCCTTAGGCTCTGTATATTTCTCTCTTTATGTTTAAATGTTAACGCACTGGCTGCTTCCCTTGCCTTTTACTTTACTACAGCAAATGCAGTAGAATTGTCAAATCTGAGCAGAAATGCATCAGCCATGACAATATTTTCATATG